ACCGTGGGCTCTTAGAGCACACAGTGGGTGTGTTAGAGACCCACTAACCGTGGGCTCTTAGAGCACACAGTGGGTGTGTTAGAGACCCACTAACCATGGGCTCTTAGAGCACACCAGTGGGTGTGTTAGAGACCCACTAACCGTGGGCTCGTCATCAGGGCTTACCCATGAGCACCACCCGAGACTCCAGTGGCTCACACGAGGATTGACTGTGGGTGTTATAGGGGCCTCCGGACTTTGGCAAATGCTTAAGGTCATGTGTCTAGTGTTCTGGTATCACTGGGTTGGGGGGCGCGTAGACCTCAGAGAGAACAAGAACAGGGGTACTAGGGACTAAGAAGCCCAAATGGGGTGGGGGGCTGGAGGCGAACACCAGAGAAGACAGCAGGGATCAACACTTTGAGACTCCATTTGTGGACACATTATGTGGTGGTGTGTCATTCTAAGGGCACTGTAGATGTTAAGTAGCTTAACCTGGGAATTGGAAGACTTCTGTGTTAGTTTGGGCTGACTAGAGAAACAAATCCAGAGACACTCACACGTGTGTAAGAGAGAACTGTATATCAAAGAACAATTGTACATTAAGAAAACATCCCAGCCCAGTCCAGATCAACTCATAAATCTGATATTAGCCCATATGTCCAATACCAGTCTATAATTTCCTCTTCAGACTCATGCAGCCATGCAGTGATGCCAAACGCAGGAAGATCACAGGCCAGTTGGTGGAAAGTCTTGTGGATCCAGTGGACGTGGAAGCATCTCAGCCCTGGCATGGGTCTAAGACTCTGGCTGCCTACAGCATAGCTCCATGTGGCTCGTCAGCAGAAGGAGGAAGCAGAGAGAGTGTCTGGCCTCCAATGAGCTGTTTATCTCTGTTGTGCCTCCAAATGAGGTCATCAAGCTGTGGCCTGATTGACAGACTAAACTCCACCCCTTGCAAGTTGACAGGAGATTATGTACCACACCTTCTAACATACATGGTTGGTAAATAACAACAAACCCTGCTAACACAAAAATCACCACTGACATCAGCAGACGATGAATCTGAGGCCTGCCTTTTGTCCCAGTTCCTCCGAGGGCTTTACATTAAGAAAACATCCCAGCCCCGTCCAGCTCACTCCCACAAGACGGTTTTAAATGAATGAGTCTTTCTTCTCTAACCTCTCACCTCACAGGGCCATTTAGGAGCTGTGCTGACCTGTATCGGGTAAGTTTCAGAGTCTTAAAAATAAATCAAAACAAAAACCCGTGCACTAGGAGGCACCACCTAGGTGCAAGAGATGCATGTATAATATGGTCTTACACAACCTGTAGAGATAGCATGTGACAAATGCGGGTCAGCCCACAAGTCCGGCCGCCAAATCAGAGAAACCTTTATCAGACAAAAACATCAGAATGTGAAGCTATTGCTTCTTGGCCTCTCCGCCCTCTAGTTTCTGACACTTCCGAAGGCAGTGTTTCCATCTCCCTGTGGATTCCCACGCTCTTTGAGTTTGCACCACATCCAAATGGTCGTTTCTGGCAACCCTGAGGTACTTGAATTGCGTCCCTTGTCCATGTTCATTGAGTTTGGGGAGCACAAGGAAGCATGAAGGGGCAAGATTGGGGCTACAGGTTGGATGGGGCAGGGTTTCCCAACAAAACTCTCATTGGGCAGTGTGGTAGTTACATAATTGATAAATAAGTGTAAGGGGTGGAGTCTAGCCTGTCAATCAGGTCACCGTCTCGTGATGCCTCCTTGTGGGTGTGGTTTTCTCAGGAGGATTCTGGGAACTTCCTCTCTTTCTCTCTGGGGGTGGGGCACACTCTCTGTGCTTCACCTTCCTGCTGAGAAGCCACACTCAGAGAGCTGAAGGAGCCACTTGGAGACCCTCACCAGTGCTGAGATGCTTCTACCACCATTGGTCCACAAGACCCTGCACCCACTGGCCTGTGATCATCCTGCATTTTGCATCATTTCATATGACTGCGTGAGTCTGCAGAGGGATTTATGGACTAGTATTGGACTTATGGGCTTATATCAGACTTATGGACTTGATCTGGATGGGGACGTTATCTTAAAATACAATTACTCTTTGATATTCAGCTCTTCTTTATACACATATGAGTGTCTCTGTTTGTTTCTCTAGTCAACCCGGACTAACACAGGCAAGCCTTGCTGCCTCAGAGAGTGGGCAGATACACCGTCAGGCTGGAGATAAAATTCCTCGGTGCAATATTCCTGGCCTTTTTCTCACTGAGGCAGTGCCCAATATTCTCAAGTTTCCTTCACAGTCAGCCCCCAGGATCATCGTGTGCACTTTGAGAAAAGTCTTATCAAGGTTGCCCCAAAGACCAGAACCTTCTGAGCTGACGGACTCTGTGCCTTGAATCAAACTGGCCCAGCAGATTCCCTTAGAAGCCACTTGGAACTGGATCTTTTTTATTTTTATTTCTAAAGACCATTTTCTGGGGGGCTCTTATAGCTCTAATAACAATCCATCCATCCATGTGTCAAGCATATTTGTACAATTGCTACCATCATCGTTTTCTAAACGTTGACTTTCTAGTTGAGCCCTTTGCTTTCAGCTCCTCTTTTTACCCCTCCCTCCTCCACCCACCCTCGTGACCCCTTGATAAATTATAGATGATTATTTTCATATCTTACACTGACCGCTGTCTCCCTCCCCCCACGGTTTCTGTGGTTCGCCGGTGGTGGTTATGTGTCGACCACAGGCACCCTCAGGAGACTAAGGCAAGTGTATTATTGGGAGAACTTGCCTGCAGCCAACCACTGAGAATACAGACACGTTTCAACATATTGTGGATGGAATAAACCCACGCTCCTGTGATCTGAAATGCTAGCAGCAACATTTTGGACTTCCCCTTAGGTATTAGATTCTTCATAGATAACATGGACTATGTCGTTGCTGTCAGCGGCTGGCAAACCAGCCTCCCTCTCCTGGTGACCCAAGTGGTACAGAGTAGACTTGCCGCAGGGGGTTTCTTAGCCGGAATATTGACCGAGACAGGTCCCTGGGCCTTTCTTTCATGCCCCCACCAGATGGTTATACCCTATATCATACATTGCATTACATAAATACATGCATATGGCTTATTTGTAGGTCTTAGCATGTTGCTGTTGTGAGTTGCCACCATGCACAAAAGTACGGAACGCTGCCCAGTCCTGCACTACGCTCCCCATTGCTCCTGTGCCTGAGCCCACTGAGGCAGCACCAGGTGAATCCATTCCATTGAGGGCCTTCCTCTTTGTCGCCACGCCTCTACTTTACCAAACATGCCTTTCTCCAGGGACTGGCCTCTCTCTCTCTCTCTTTGGCCAATATGTCCACAGTATGTCAGAAGTCTTGCCATCCTTGCCTCTAAGGAACAATCAGGCTCTACTTCTTCCAACGTAGATCGGTTTAGCGCAGTGCCTAGCAAACATTGTCAAACATACCCCGAGCTGTAGGATATTTTTGCTGCTTCCAACTCTGCTAGGCTTGCGGGAACACGGTTTTACCCCTTAATTCTCTCTCTCCTCACCTGCTCACTTGGCCATCCCTACCTCTCACCTTCTTTGATGGGAATCCTACCTTCAAAGTGAAAGACAATGGGTACCCTTTATCCTTGGAAAGCTGGGATGTTAAGAACAAGAAAGCCACTTGCTCCAACAAACTACGGATGGCGGGAAAATGGAGTCTTGCAGAATTCTGATGGCTCCGTGGGGTAGACATGGGGCCTGTCCGCTCCTCTCTACGCGATGCTAGCTCTTGCCAGGTGCTGGTCTGTGTAAGACTGCCCGAGCAGGAAAGGCATCTGCTGGATGCTTTGGGGCCAGAGGACCAAACAAAACACAACCACCTTCTTGGCGCCTCTCACAAAGAAGGAACGAATAAGGGGGCGAGACCATTTAACGGAGGGAGAGCGAGAGGCAGGGTGGGCAGGAAGAGGAGAGGTGGAAGGAAGCAGACCATAGCGTTCACTTACTTCTGCCCAGCGGGCTTCTCGGGGTGGACATGGCGGTGGCTGCTGCCGTGCAGGGACAGAGAGTGCAGCCAAGCTCCCGGAAGGCACCACGGTTTCATTTGAAACACAGCCAGCTGGCCTTCCCACCCTTCTTATCCCCCGTGTGTGGCAACCAACCCTTTTCAAGAGTCTTCCTTGTGTGGGAATGGAAAAGGGCCTGCAGCCATGAGGGCGGTCCTCTGAGCCGGGGACGCCCCGGGCACTCACCGAGGCAGGCCGGTGGCGATGCAGAACAGGTCCATGATGTCGCTGGAGTTGCAGTACTTGCTGAAGACCACCTGCAAAACACAACAGCAGGACCACTTAGTTTCCATGGCGATGCCGACCTGCCCGTGTTTTCTCCCTGGTTCCCACCTCAAGGTCTATTTTAAAAAGAAAGCATCAGCACCACGGGCACCGGGACATTCCATGTGCGTCTTTTCGTTTAGTCCATTTCTACAGGTTCGGAGAACTTCATTCTTTGGCTTCAATACACAGAGCCTGGAATACCAGGCCACGGGATCTGACCCATGCAGCATGCCGTGCGTTCACAGTGCCACCACAGCACCGGGCAGCATCGTTCCAATGCCCTAAACATGCCCCAGCCCCCACACACTAGTTCCTTCCCTTCTTCGCGGACTCCGCAGCCCCTGGTCTCCACCGGGCATTTCACCACGGTCTCTGCAGGTCTGCCTCTTCTCGGAGGCTGTATACGTGGAACCATCTAGCTCTGGGGGCACTAGGCATTGGCACCCGCGGTGCTGTCCAGTCAACCCTGACGCAGGAAGGTGCTGCCCGTTTGTGTCAGAGCAGACCTTTGCTCCATAAGGTTCTCCGTGGCTGGTTTTTTGGGAATCGGATTGCCAGGCCTTTCTTCTGAGCTGCCCTGAGATGGAGTCAAGCCTTCACCTTTTCTGCTATCGGCTGAGTGCTTCACAGTTTGCCCGGAGGTGGGCCCCTCTAGACCCATCTCCAGGTCCTAGGCTTCTCTTGCTCTACAGATGGCACCCCACGGACGGCAGCACCTCAAAAGGCAGGTAGAAGCTCAGACCTGAAAGCCTGGGAATACATGTCTGAGGCCTGCCAGGAGGGCAGGTCATGATCATGGTGCCGGGCTGTTATCTCCGCGACCTGGGTCAGTCACCCAGCCTCTTTGGGCCTCCAGTTTACGTTCTGTATAATGGGCACCATCACCCCCCTCCAGCCTGCTTTGTGTCACCTGATGCTGGCCAAAAGGCTCTGCAGTCAGCTACCCACCCGAGCTTGTGGTTTTAGCAAAGGGCCTGCCCAGAGTCCCCAAGAGATAGACTGCACTGAGCACGTCACGCTACTGACCTTCCAAAGAGCAGGCTGTGTATGGCCTCCCTGAGATGGCTTCCCAACACCCCCATGCACTGCCAGGACCCCCAGGCTACTTTTGAGTTGAGAAAGCAGCAGCTGTATGACACTGTTAACCCCAGAGCCGGGTCCAAGAACTAAATACACCGAGTGGACTGGCCGGAACCTTGGTTGGGGCTGTTTCAAAGAGTGCTGACATTTTAATGCTGGGCTTTCTGAATATATTGCTGTCAGCTGCCCTGCAGTCCATTCTAACTGATGGTGATGGTATGTATCACGGAACACCGTGTCGCCTATCCCCGGGTCAGCCTCACCATCGCCAGCACACTCAAGTGGCTCTTGCCAACCCATCTCAGCGACGGCCTCCCATGTCCTTGTTCTGAATATACGAGCCCTCCTTCTCCCCCTCAGCAAGCTGTCTGTTACACTGAACATCTAGTAGGTTCTTTTGTATGTGGAGATAAAACATTGCTAAATAATAATGTCAGATTATTATTATTATTATTATTTTTTGCCTGCCTGCCTCCCCTCCAAATTCAGAGCCTTTTATTCAGCCTTGGCTTGTCATGGAAATGTAGTTCTTTGCAAAGTTCCCATAAAACTGCCCTCCTTATTGCTAGGATGTAAATAGAAAAAAAAAAGCATTCAGTTGCCAAGACTTTGACTGGGAAGCCTTATTTGAGAAAAGTGATCTTTGTTAGGTTGGACCTGACTCTTCTCCGAAGCCGGGGGTGACTTTACGGACCGGTCATGAACCAAACTTTCTTGGGAGGAAACCAGCCGAGAGCCTGGCTCTCAGGGCTCCCGGCTAATGGTTCATTTTATGTAGCGACTTGATTAGGCTTTGGCTCTCAGTGATGTGGCTAAGCTAGAGTCTACTTGTGATGAAGTAGTTACATGTGATTGGGCCAGTTGGCCTACTTTCCATAACATAATCGAATTGGACACCATGTAGTCACTTTCCATAATGTAATCCGATTGGACGCCAGGTAATCACTTTCCATAATGTAAGACAACACAACACAGAGCAACACAACGGAATGTTATCAATCAACCCATCAGCTGGAGTAGGGAGGACCCTAAGCCTAAATTCTGTAGCTGAAAGAAAGCAGGAACAGATACAGCCACATCCCCACAGGGGAAGACCAATGCCAGGGAGGGTCACAGAGAACCCCTGGGGTCACTGACAAGGAAGGACTCACTAGGGCTGAGAGCCGATTGTGTGGGCTTGTAACTGCCAGCATGGTGACAAAATACACCCCAGTCTCTAAATAACGGCTCCTTGGGCACACAGCTGATATGCATTGGGTTGTGACCCACCAGGTCCGAGGTTAGAAACTCCCTCCTGCTCTTTGGAAGAAAGATTGGGCTTCAAGTCTGCAGAGTGCTCCTGTCTTGGAAACCCCCAGGAGCAGCGCTGCTGCTTCCTGCAGGGTCGGCATCGACTCCATGGTGGGAGTTTTATTCTCTAAAGGCCACTGCTGGCCACTTGGAGGCCAGCACCAAGACACCACGAAGACACCAACCTTACAGGGACGCGAGGTTTGCTCCCCCCAGGTCGGGAACCTCGAGGTATTGTGGGGCCACGAGAAGAGGGGAACGGCCCCCCTCTGCGTGCTCGGTGAGGTCTGTGGAGAGAGTGTCTTGTCCTTGGCTCCCGAGCCCGGGAAGAGCCAATAAGAGAGGCTTGACGAGTCCACTCAGAGGGACTCGGAAAGTTCCAGCAACGCGACCCCTGGTTGTTTTTGTTCTTAGTAGTTGCGTCTGGTCGATTCAAGCCAAAACTGTGAGGCTGAACGGCTTGGGGATCAAGAATAAGATGACCCTCAGGAGGGCACATGCTGACATTGAGTTGGCCCCTAACTCATAGTGACCCAGTGGACAACACAACCAGCCGCTGCCCAGTCTTGCAGCCCGCCCCCACCCTCCACCCCCCATTGGTTCCAGAAGGAGTCATTGTGATCCAAGGGGATTTCATTGACGGATTTTTGGAAGCAGGTTGCCAGGCCTTTCTTCCTACTTTAAAATCGTCTAGGAGCTCCATGGAAACCTGCTCAGCAGCACACAGGCCTCTGGTGGCAGTTATGTAATCTCCTGTCAATTTGAGTGAAGGGGTGGAGTCTAGCCTGTCAATCAAGTCACAGCCAGTGAGGCCTCTGGGTGGGCATGGCCTTCTCCTGAAGATTCTGGGAACTCCTGTCTTCCTCCCTGATGGCAGGACACACCCTTTCTCTCTGCCTTCTCAGTCCTGCCATTGAGACACTCAGAGAGCTGGAGGAGACATGTGGAGACACCTGACAGCATTGAGATGCTTCCACCATCACTGGAGCCACAAGAACCTTCTACCCACTGGCCTGTGATCTTCCTGCATTTGACATCATTGCATGTTGAGTTAGTTAATTGTGCCAACCTGGCCGATAATCACATGTGGGGCTAATTGAAAGGCGGAGGGATAAATGGGTGGTGAGCCTCGCCTTTCTAGTTCTCGGGTCTCTTGCTTTGTGATGGTCGCACCAGGGTGCAGCTGCCTTAGCAGTTCCCTGCTTCAGCTTGCAAGATTGACGTCCTACAAGACATCCCCAAGGAGAAGCCACATGGACCTATCCCGATGCAGCCCTGGGTGCTGGAGCAGCCCTGTGGAGACCCCTGCTAGTGCTGAGATGCTTATTCGTTCACTGACTCAGCTTTCATCCTGCAGTCGGCATCATTGCCTCTGTTTTGTGAGGTGGAGGACTTTGTGGACTGGTGTTGGGTTAATGGGTTAATGTTGGACTTGTGGGCTTGGGCAGCATTGGGTTGGGATGTTTTTGTGATGCACACTTTCTTTACATAAAACTCTCTTATACATGAGTTGCTGTGGATTTGTTTCTCTAAAGTGCCTAGATTAATGCACATGTGCTATGTGAGTCTAAAGAGGAATTTATGGACTAGTATCAGACATATGGGCTAATGTCAGACTAGGGACTTGATCTGGACTGGGTGGGATGTTTTCTCAATATACAATTACTCTTGATATAAAGTTCCTTCTTGTATACATATGAGTGTCTATGAATTTGTTTCTCTCGTCAACCCAGACTAACACATCTTCAATGACAGAAGGGGGGGGGGTGAGGGGGGTGGCCGTGCAATAGGTGCATTGGCCGAGAATTGAACCTACGTCTCCCACATGGAAGGTGGGAATTCTACCACTGAGTCACCGTGGCCCCCATATCACGGGCTACAAGTGGAGATCCTCTGTGCTTCCTGGGAGCAAAGAGCCCCCAGGAAGAGCAAGAGCCGGGGTACAAGGCAATGAGAGAACACGTGCTGTGGAGGCAGCGAGGACAAAAGAGAATTGAGAGTTTATGGACTGCTCTCTAATTTAGAGTCCGGTCGGCGCTGGAGTTCCTTTGCAAGCCTAGCAGACAGCCCCCCTCACCCCCCAAGCTCTGCGGTTTGATTGGCAGTGCAACGATATTAAAACAAGAGCAGAAAATGAAATGAGAGCTCAAGAGGGGCTCTGGCTCACCAGTTATTGATCCTTCTCACATTCGGCGGACGCCTGTGAATGTCGGTGGGCATTTTCGCGTCTGGGAATTCTCACGCTGTCTGCATAAAGAATGACTAATTGCTCAGTGCTCAGCACAAGCCAAGCTTCCGAAAGTTGGAGGGATTTACATAAGGAGACTGTAAGGGTGGGCTTTTGCCCCACCCTCGCATCCCACCCACCCAAATATGCTAAAGCCCAAACCCTAGGCACCCGTGAGCTTGATATCACTAGGAAATGTAGTCTTTGAAGATGTGACGGGTTAATATGAGGCCATCGTGGACTAGGGCCCGTCCTACTATCTCTCGTCTCTCCCCCAAAGGGAGAGCAAGCTCAGATACAGACACACACGGAAGATGACCATGCGGAGTCCAAGGCCGAGATGGAGTGATCGATCGAAAAGCCCGGGGTCAGGGGGAGTCACCGGAAGCTGAG